CCATAAAATCTGGATGGAATGAGGGGGAGGTTGAAGCCTGACATGTATTTCCTCAGTGTGGAGCGGATGGAGATGTCTCTAGGAGGGTGTGTGGCAGCCTGAAAGGCCTGTTCAATAGTTCCTTGATTACAGAGATTACTCAATCAGGGACCATGAGCCTCCTCTGACAAAACAGAATGTCCCTGCAGAACTGTGGGGGAGACAGCTGAAGGAGAAGCCTAGTTCCCACCAAGGAAGGATGCCAGAGATGAAATGGTATGGGGGTGTTGACAATTGCTGAATTATTGCACAGGGAATTAGTTATTTGAAAAGCTCGTTTCTTATTCACATCAAATGTTCAGATGCCAGAATCTGAAGAGAGCTGTACATAAAGAACTTAGAGATTTGGTGACAGACAGATGTGAACTGCGAAAAGCCTGTTCCCTACAGCAAAATAAGCAAACAGTCGTTCACAAACAGCCTAGGTCACTCAACACCAGCCCCAAATCTATGCATCAAAATAAGGGGGAGAAATCGAAGTATACAGAGGAAAGTCAGGGTGTGGGGGACAGCCCAACGCTTGACCCACACAGCAAAGGTGTTCTCCAGAGAAAAGTTCACCAAATAAGCCACAGTCATGATGGCCAGGGGAAAATGGCTTAAAGGGGAGGTTTGAGTCCTTTTTTTAAAAAAAAAAAGATTGTAAGACAACAGAAGGAAGCAAAAAGACAGCTGGGAGTCAGGAAAATGCAGAAGACAAAAATAGAAAACAATGGATTGCAAAGTTACATTGCAAGCAACAAAAAAGAAAGGAAAGAAGGAAGGAGGGAAGAAAGAAAAGAGAAGGAAGAAGGAAGGGGAGGGAGCGAGGGAAGGAAGGAAAGGAAGGAGGGAGAGAAAAAAGGAAGGAGGAAGGGGAGGGAAAGAAGGAGAGAAAGGAGGGAGGGAGGAAGGAGGGAGAGAGGGAAGGAAGGGAGAGAGGAAGTAAAGAAGTGAGGGAGGGAGGGAGAGCAGGAGCAAGGGAAGGAAGGAATCATAAAATGGGACAGAACAGAGCAAAGATGTCAAGTTGGTTGGTTGAGGTGATGATGGGTGGGTGATGCAGACACGGGGTGAAACATAAGCCTAGCTACTATTTGTTCAGAACCAACAAATAGAACAGAAAACACTCAGAGAGAAAATGAGAGGAACTGGCTTCCTTTAATAAAAGGCTTTTGTCAGCAAGTCATAGTGGCTCGCTGCGTGCCCACAGGACACAGGACAGTAATAGCCTGCTCAGGGTGCTAGATGTCATGGGAAAAGAACCCATAGACCTTGGAGCAGAAAAGGCAAAGCAAGGTCGACCACCAGACTCCCTGTTGGGCCTCCCACATTTTCACGGGAGCACCAAACGCGGAGGAAACCAGGAGCACCTGTATGGGAAGGAGCGGTGACCCAAGGATTGTCTCTGAATCCTCTCACCATCTAACAAGCCAACAGAGAGGCAGCCAGGGTGGTCTCAGAAGACCCTGGTTGAGAAGATGTCAGGTCCTTGGCATCCCAAACTAAGAATTGAGCAGAGACAGAATTTGCAAAGGAGCAGCAGAGTTTTTTTGAGGGTGAGAGCAGGAAAGTACTTTCCCCCAGGAAGAGGGGAGCGGGCCTGGCAAGGTGGCTTCCAGCTGCACCCTGGCTCAAGAGCTCTGGTGCTGAGGTTCAGATGGGTGTTTATAAGGGTGGAGCTTGGTGGTACTCATCGACTGGCGTTTGGTGACTGACAGATGGATTGACTGTTATGTCACTTCGATGTGCAGCGAGATGCAATCTGTACTCGTAAGGCCTTGTTTGCATGCCCTCGTCTGGGTCCAGATGAAAATGCTATTATTTCCAAAGGGGCATTTGGGGAGTTCTGCATGAAACTAGACCACCTGTTCCACGGGAGATAATTTGCCAAGAGGCCACCTGCTCCCCATGACCGGTTTGGGTACGTCCCCTGAGTTTCTTGCTCATGGGACCACCATTCTGATAAGCCCTTCTCAAAAGCCTGTGGGGCCAGGATGAGATACAAGGATGATTAAAAATAGAGAACAGTAATGCATCTGACTCCTGGAAAAAGACAATGGAAATTGAGGGATTGAATTCATTTAAGCAGGCGGAATTAAGATGAATCAGCTGACAATTACAGTTCAGAACAGCAGCTCAGAAATCTTGATGCTACATGAAGAAAGTAATGAAAACTGGTTGGGAATTAGGAAGGAAGAATAGAGTGAAGGCGCCTGTGTCCTCATCCCTTCTTAGCCAAAAGCTATTCTCTTAAATCAAAATGTCATTAAAAATAACTCCAAACCTCTTTCTGGTTTCTTTAATCTGCTTTCTTCAACTTTATAGTGTCTTTTTTGAATTAATTACAGTTAAGAAATCAGCAAGTCAGCAAAATGCTACTTTAATTTTCCCTAAATACCAAAAAAAGGCATTAAAACTTTAAAATCACTTGAAGACGCAGTGATGGTCAAGTATGGTGTGTTTTTATATACACAGCAGTTCGGGTGATTCTGTGTTGGTCAGCTTTATGTTCCCGCAGCAAAAGACCTGAGCAATTAGCTTACAAAGGAAAGTGTTTCCAATCCATGAATATGGGATGTCTTCCATTTTTTTGTGCATCCACTTCCATTTCTTGGTGAACATTTTAGAGTTTTTCGTTATGAATAGCTTTGCACCTGTTTGGTTAAATGCATTCCTCAGTACTTTCTTTTTATAGCTAAAGTAAGTTCAAATTGCTTTCTTGACTTCAGTTTCAGATAAATCACTTAAAACTAGCAACATTACTTGGATATTTTGGCCTTTAAATGGAGTTATTTTAAGAGGTTAGGAAAGGGGAAATACAAAGGAGCGTGGTGAGCCCAGGTGAGGGATTCTGGGAGGCCTTTCTTCCCAGCAGAGCTTGCAAAACTTTAGGGGACTAATCCATGGGAAGGAGGGAAAGGGCCAGGTGATTCCCACCATAATCACTGAGGGGAAGGGGCATGGGCAGAGGGTCCCCTGGCCAGGTGAGGGTTGTGCCTAAGCCACGGGGATGGTTCAATCTGAAATGCAGTTTGTTTTTCTAGGGTCCCAACTTTTCTTGACTCTAGGCTGGCCTCAGAGGCAACCCTTATTCAAACAAGGACCCCAAGAAAGTCTTTTTTTGAAGGGTTTATGAGAGACTGGAGTTCTCTTCTTCTTTTGAATCTGGCTTCAAGCTGTCATATCTGACAAGAGGCAGCAGACCCTCCTCTACGAGGGATTTGTCGCTCCTATTCTTTCCCTTGGGGCTCGTGTTGGACCCAAGGTGTTTCTGAATTATTTTCAGACATGGATGGACGATCTGGTTGTTCATGGACCTTGTTTGTCTGTAGAGATCCATAGCCCTGTTGGTTCATGATTTGGGTCCTAAAGGCTTTTGTCCATTTCTCTGGCTGTCTTCACCCACATGCTGGGCAGTAGGGAGTGGGGAGTCTGTGATCAGAAGATATCCAAATTCTTTGTGTCCCGTGGGGAGGAAGAATCCATGGCAGGACACGTGGGTGTAAAGGGAGTTTATTAAAAGTTAGGGAAGTTATAAAAGGGAGCATGGTGGACCCAGGTGGAGTCTGGAGACTGAGAGCGATGTTACAGACTTTTATGTGTTGATTTTGTACCTTGCAGTTTTGCTAAGTTTGCTTGCTAGTTCTAATAGTTTTTGGTGCATTCTTTGGGGGAGTTTATATATATATGATTGTGTCATCTGCAAAGAATTAAACTTTCTCTTTTCTAACTTTCTTTCTCTCTCTTTCGCTCTGGCTGAGACTTCCTGTACCATATCGATTAAAAGTGGCGAAGGCAGGCATCCTTGTCTTCTTCAGATCTTTAGAGAAAAACGCTTTCAGCCGTTCCCACTCATTTAGATAACGTTGTGGTTGTTGGCTTTATTGTGTCGTTATTGTGTCTTGCGATGTCGTTGTGATGTGCAGAACGTCCCATCTGTCAGTGTTTTTGTGATGAAAGATGGTGGACCTTATCCAGTGCCTTTTCTGGACCTGTAGAGATGGTCACATGGCTTTTGACCTTTACTCTGTTCAAGTGGTGCGTCATCTTTATTGATTTGCATGTGAACCATCCTTGCACCCCAGCATGGACCCCACTTGACCTTGGTCAACAATTCTTTCAGTGTGCTGCTGAATTTGGTTTGCCAGTATTTTGTTGAGGATTTTTACATCTATGTTCATCAGAGATGTTGGCCTGTAGTTTTCTTTTCTTTTTGATGTGTCCTTGTCTGATTTTGGTACCAGGATAATGCTGGCCTTATAGAATGTGTTTGGTACAATTTCTTCCTTTTCAATATTGTGGAGTAATTTAAGAATAATTGGTATTTGTTCTTCTTTAAATATTTGGTAGAGCTCGGCAGCCTCTTGTCCTGGGGTTTTCTTTGACTTTTTGTACATTTCTATTTCTTATATTCTTGGCAATGAATAGTTATCTTTTTTTTTTTTTTTTTGGCAGTACTAGGGTTTGAACTCAGGGCTCACACTTGCTAGGCAGGTGCTCTCCCACTTGAGCCACTCCACCAGCCCTATTTTTGTGATGGGTTTTTTCAAGATAGGGCCTCACAAACTATTTTCCTGGGCTGACTTTGAACCATGATCCTTCTGATCTCTGCCTCCTGAGTAGCTGGGATTAAAGGCATGAGCCACTGGTGCCCGTCTGAGTGTGTATCTTTTTTGAATGAAAGTTATTTTACCATATAAACAAATACTTAAATTAAAGGATTAAGTATCAACATAGAACAATGCAAAAAACTAAATCCTTCATTGATGACTATTGTAAATTAGTTACTAATCTCAGAAAAGAATGAAGGGGAAAGAGGAAGGAAAAAGAAAAAGAAAGGAAGGAAAAGAGGGGTGGGAAGAGGTAAGAGGTATCGTAAAAGATGTTCGGATTGGGGAAATGGTCTCCCTCCCCTGGCTTATATCACACTCACCCCTCTCCCTTCCCTCTGCTGCTGACGCCGTGCCCTCTCCTTGCAGTGCTCAGTCACCTGTGGTGTTGGAGTCCAGAGGAGGACGCAGGTATGTCAGAGGCTGACGGCCAAAGGCCAGCGCGTGCCCCTCAGCGACCTGATGTGCAAGGACCTCCCAGGACCCTCTCTCAGGAGACCCTGCCAGATGCCTGCCTGTGGCAGTAAGTACGAATCTGCACGTTTCACCTCCTTAGGCTGGTGCCACTCGTGTCACCCGCTGCGTTCGTTTCCCACAGCTCAGCACACTTTCCAGTGTGGGGAGGCAAACCGCACAGAGCTCACTTGTGCCTGAGCCGTCAGCGGTGGGCTGTGGAGGACACAGCTTCTGAGAAAAACCATTTCAGTGCGTCTTTGAGTGGCTCTGTGACCTCTGCTTCACCACGGTCCCCCGTTGAGTCATGAGCGAGCTGTCAAGCTGACATCCTTCCTGCCTTTGTCAGAGTGTGTTTGAACTCGTCCTATTACCAGGAGAGGAGCTGAGTGTCTTTAAGCAGTCAAGTATTTTCCCACTTAATTAATCTAAACCCAGCAAGGATGAAAACATGAAGTGCCGCCGGCTTACACGAATGGGAGTTTGGATAGCGCTTCAGTTAATTATAAATAACAAGCTTGCCAAGAGTTACGATCATGGCCTCCTGCTCGAAGCTAACACGCGCTGTGCTCGTTCGTGTGGGTGTCCGTGTGCATCGGAGGACACATTTACGCGTGCACGTGCGCATTTCACGTACGCGACTCGGCGAGTGAAGCCAGGTTGTCACAAAGCAGGTGAAGGAGGCCAAGAGGTGGTAGGAGGTGGGGGACAGGGACACTGGGACAAGAGCTCCTGATCCTGTCCTGCTTTGCTTTGGTCACTGTCTTTAATTTTCACTCATAAATGACATTGTCTACGTCAGGCACCCCTCCCGAGCTCGCTTATGGTAAGGGAAAAAGACGTGAGCTAGTCTTACTTTAGTGCTGTGTGTGCATGCGTGCATATGTGTGTCTGTATGTGTGTGCATGTCTATGTGTGTATATGTGTGTGTATCTATGTATGTGTGTATATGTGCGTGCATGTGTATGTGTGTGTGTGTGCATGTCTATGTGCCTATGTGTGTGTGTGTTCGTGTGTATGTATGTCTGTGTGTGTATCTATGTATGCGTGCCTATGTGTGTGTGTGTCTCTTGGGTTCACTGACAAGTTTCCTGGAGAAACTCACAAAACAAAATAATAAAATCATTAAGTTGGACTGGCGGAGTGGCTCACATGGTAAGAGCACCTGCCTAGCAAGCATGAAGCCCTGAGTTCAAACCCCAATGCCACCCAAATGAATTGATAAGTAAATAAATCAAAGCATTGAGTTACATCGGAAAGGAATAAGGTTTATCGAGCACTTACTGAGGGGAGTTCCCTGCATTGTCTCATTCAGTGCCCTCAATAACACTGGGCACAGACATTGACCTCATTTAGGGACACGGAGGGACTTAGGGACTTAGGGAAGGTCTGAGACTCGCCCAGAGCCCCATGGCTCTGGACCCTTTGTCCTGTTTGACCACAGCTCTGTCTGACTCCTGAGCCCATGCTCTTAGCCGCCTCTTTCTGCTGTTTTGCGGTCAGCATTACAATTTCTCTCCTGGGAATCATTTGAGAACAAATTTTCAAAATCTTGAGATTCGAAAAACTTGAGATTCCAAGTTTTACACTCCCCTGGAAGTCAGGAATGTCTGAGGCAAATGGCTCACGGGTGTGCGTTGATGCAGCCTCCTATCTGTCTGATTGCTGGTAATTGTGGATGGCGCACAGCATTGTGACTAGCCTGTCAGCTGCCTTAAAGGAGAATGGCAAAAAAGTCCTACTGTCAGCTCCCTCTAAAGTGTTCCTCTAAGATGTGGGAATACATTGTGGTCAGGAGGACATGCAGAGTGCCACAGGGTGAAATTAAAAGTCATATGGCTCAAAATGGAGAGCAGGAAAAATTACAAGTTTTAGAGAAAAAAAGCAAGAAGAAAAAAGACAGTAGTATTTTTCCTTTACCCCACTATTCCCCAGCCTGCTGTACACACAAGTCGTGTGTGCAGTAGACAGGAGACAGGAGTGTGTACTCCCAGCAGTGGCCAGGTCACCCTGAGCTGGACACCCACTTCAGCTGCCTTGGCCTCTGGTCATCATCTTGAACCAGTGGCCCTCACTTGGCCTTTCTTTGGTTGCTTCTCTCGCCAGGCTTTCACACCACGATGACATGGGGTTGAGGGCTGAATGTGGCAATCTCCCAGCCTCCCTGCCCTCTTCAGCAGCCCACGAACACTTGATAATTAGGCTCTCCTCACCAGACCTTCCAAGGCACTGTGGCACGAGGCGTAGAGTCACGGCAATGGTGGGACAAGAAAGAAAGCGGTCAAGGCAACTGTTGTGGATGTCCTCTGGCTCCTGAAGCTGGTTTGCGTGGCAGACTGACACACAGACCCAAAAGGAGGACCTACAGAAGAGAGGTTTTCGTTCTCCAGAAAATCCCCAAATGTGGCATTTCTCACATCCTGCACAGCAAGAGAGGACAGGCCTGGCTTAGCCTGGTCACATAGCTCAGAATTCCCTGCAGAAGCTGCTGTGGGCACCTGGCCATTCTGCAGAGTGGCCGATGCCCTTGCCTACTCAGTGTTGCCATGATGGGGCATTTCCAGATTTAGGAGGAGATAGTCCCCCAAAACCAGAACAGACTTTTGCCCAAGAACTGTGTGCAGTGATGCCACACTCAGGGCAGTGCTCTGAAGGAATCTATAGGAGTCCTAAGGGAGGAATTGGTTCAATGGTGTGGAACCAGTCAGGGCTCACGACTTTCTATCATTGGCTGGACTCCCAAGCCACTTCCGTAATCAGTGGGTAGTGTGAGCAAATGCCTAAGCAGGGCTGGGAAGGAGGCCAGCTGGGGCCACAGAACCTACCTTGCTGTGAATACGCACTCAGCCCAGAGGGAGCAGCTGGGTTCCTGCCACAGCTCATCACCAAGGCTAAGCCCTGCTGCCCCCCTGCAGGCTCCATGACCTGTCTTGGGTCCCGTCACCTTTAAGCTCCAAGCTCAGCTGAGGGAGGTCTGGCTACCAATGGACCTGGAGTTAATCAGGAGCCATCTCACACTGGCCGCTGGGCATCGGATGCTTTATGGACCTCAACCAGCCCCAACTTCATGACTCTGAAATTAGCAAGCCCAGCCTCTCTACTTCCACTTGCTGGAGTCTCTGAGCTTCCCGGGTACACCTACGATCTGCTCAGGGACCAAAATGCATTGTACAAGAGGAAGCAGACTTCCTCCCACATCACAGCCCCCTCAGAAGCACCCCAGAACACACCGATGCTTCCCTCAGGTGAAGTAAGGTGGGGGGAGACAGGATCTGAGGGTACCCTCCTAGGCCCCAGCCTGTTGACTAGTGTTGGTGACCAGGAACAAATGAAGCCCAGTCTTGGCTGGACTTGCCTTTGTCATCTGGCCAGGGGGTCACAGAACTCAGCTGTGAGAGCCCATTGTGTGTCTGCTACTGTGTTGTGCACATGATATAAACAATCTGACTGAGTTTTATCATTCCTCTGATGAAAGGTTCCAGCACAACCCACTTTGACAGTAGGATAGCTGAGGCCCAGAGAGATCCAGTGACTTATCCAGTAGGAGCTGAGATCCAAACTCAGATTGGTCTGGCCTCAGAGTCCCTGTTCTACCTGTTGTTTTCTGATCACAGCTACCAGTGCTTCTGTGCACCCCATGCTAGTTTAGTGGACACATCTAGGTCACATCTTCAGTCACTGACTTCATCCTCCTTTTCAGACCCTTTAAATGCATTCACTAACATTTCCCCTTTTGCTTCTTCCCTCAGACTTGGGGTACCTATGGCTCCAAGCCAGACTAGGTTTCCAAGGGCCACCCTGCCCAATCGTGGAGGCCAAACATCCCAGGCTAGCCTCTCGTTGGTGGAAATGTGTACCTAGAGGCCATTGTGATTATGGCATAGAACAAACCTCTCTCAAATGCAGCAATAACCGTTCTCTATCCCACTGAGCCGTTTGACCTCATGCCTCCCCAGTCCAGGGCTTTGTAAAATAATTCACATATTTTCTAGCAATTCACTCAAATGAATGAATTTGCCACAAGTACTGGAATATTGTGAAATAAGCTCCAACGTTTGGATGTATAATATTCCTGTTTAATTTTTGCATGCTTTTAAAGAACTAAAAAAAGATGTGTTTGTAGACTTGGAAGTTACTGACAGAAAGATTTTATTTTTGAGTTTTCTATATATTTTTTTTTGCATTTGCTTTTCTCTCTTTTTGTCCTGCAGAAATGAAACCAGAGACAAAGACAAGACTTAGAGAGCAGGGGCCTGAGATTCTCAGTGTCCAGCGAGTCTACATTCAGACAAGGGAGGAGACGATCCACCTGACCATCGGCAGTCGAGCTTACTTGCTGCCCAACACATCTGTGATAATCAAGTGTCCTGTGCGACGGTTCCAGAAATCCCTGATCCAATGGGAGAAGGACGGCCACTGTCTGCAGAACTCCAAACGCCTTGGCATCACCAAGTCGGGGTCCCTCAAGATCCACAGCCTCGCGGCCCCCGACATCGGCGTGTACCGCTGCGTTGCTGGCTCTGCGTGGGAAAGTGTCGTCCTCAAACTCATCGGGACAGACAACAGGCTCATCGCACACCCGTCCCTCCGAGAGCACGTGAGGGAATCCCCAGGTGCGGACCACGGTGCAGCCAACAGTGTGGGGACCATGTGGCACAAGGTGCAGCAGACGTGGAGCAACAAAAATGAGCTTTACCTGAGCGATGGCCGCATTCACAGCCAGCCTTTCCTGAGAACTCTGCTGGGCCGCTGTCGCAATCCCACGGGAAGCACTGACTCCTGGGAGCTTGAGAAAAAGCAGTTCGAAGCTGCAGTCAGGCAGGGAGCCTACAGCATGGAGGCCACTCAGTTTGACGAGCTGATAAGGAACATGAGTCAGCTGATGGAGACAGGCGAGGTCAGCGATGACATGGCGTCCCAGGTGATATACCAGCTGGTAGCCGAGTTAGCCACCATGCAGCCAGCGCAGGTGCAGTGGCGGGGCATCCAGGAAGAGGAGCCACCCATGGCTCAGCTCAGAGGGGGAGCAGGACGTGTGTCCCAAAGCTCAAAAGGGGTGAACTCAGGCAAGCTGACATTTAAGCCTAAAGGACCTGCACTCACGAGGCAAAGCCAAGCCCCTTCAGTTTCATTTAATAAAACAGTTAGTGTGAGGATTGGAAAGACAGTATACATTACAAAGAAGACAGAGGTCATTGAGATACTGTGCGACCCTCTGAGCCCCAGTGAGGTGACATATGCGTGGACCAAGGATGGAGAGCCATTACAAGCCTCGGGCAGGTGAGTAAGGGTAGAACACCAGGCTCATTTTGTAGTGTCTTCTAAATGGCTGTTCTCCATTTCCTGGAAACATCTTCTTTCATAGCAGTTTTATTACCTTTTGAGTTGGTAGACATTAACCGGAGGTTCATGATGGGAACTCCACACGTGTGTACAGATTCCTTCTCCTAAGAATGCTTCCATCCCAAATAGAACTAAAGAGGGGCTGGTGGAGTGGCTCAAATGGTAAAGTGCCTGCCTAGCAAGCATGAGGACCCAAGTTCAAACCCAAGCACCACCAAAACCAAAAAGAAACTCATCAGGAAAACACAAAATGAAACTGAAGAGTCAGGTGCCACCTGTAATCCCAGCTACTCAGGAGGCAGAGGTCAGGAGGATCGCAGTTCAAGGCCAGCCCCAGGCAAATAGTTCATAAGATCCTATCTTGAAAAAAACCCACCACACACAGAGAGAAAAGGGGGGCTGGTGGAGTGGCTCAAGTGGTAGAGCGTCTGCTTAGCAAGAATGAGGCCCTGAGTTCAAACCCCATTACCACCAAATAAAAAAAAACTCTCAAGCCTTCTGGTCCTAGGACCCCTTTAAATATAAAAATGATGGAATAACCCAGAGAGATTTTTATTAATGTGAGTTATATCTGTTACTATTTAGCTTGTTAGAAACCAAACCCGAGAAGAATTTAAAATTATGTAGTAATCCATTAGATGAAATAATGGTGAGCCCGTCACATTACACAAATAACATAGCTTTTAAAAGCAAGAGCAGTACCCCAAATTTCTGGTAATGGTGGAATTCCTTTATCTCTCTGAAAAGCTGTCCAGTGTCTGACTTAATAAATTAAGGCGCCCCTCTGCATGCTTGGGTAGTCTGAGAAGCGCTGCTGCGTCTGTTACTACCTGTTGTGTTTGTTGAAATACACGTCAAAAGTTTCCGTCCTGCGGATACGCTAGTTGGAGAGGGATCTGTTTCAATACCCCTTCCAGACAGCCGTGGACGGTCTTCACGAATGCCTCACTAACACTGGACAATGGCCGTTTCCCAAAGATCTGAAGTCGTTTACAACACGCTCCTACTCGTGCAGCGATGTCTGTGCATCGGTCTTGCGCTTTGAATGGGGCTTTTCCCTCGTGGGAGATCTTGTAGCACCATTCATTGGTCATTTGTAGAATATTGGCTCACTGAGGTACACAGCTCCTCAAATGTTCACGCATCTCACTATACAAACTAAAAATACACACATTCTTTAATATCCCTGTCAGAAAAAGAAACTAAGTTTTAGGGAGCTGTCAAGTTCACAATGTTTATACTAGGTTTCCAGAATTGTAATTTTCACTTGAAAGCTCAAATTTTATCATTGGCCACAAATACTGCCGGTTATTTTAAATTGGCCAGCTCACTGTGTTCACTTAAATATATGTGGATGTGTGGAAAGATAGAGATAGACAATAGATAGGTAGATAAATAGATGTATAGGTAGAGATGGAAAGAGAGAAAGCAAGAACAAGAGAGAGAGAGAGATGTACAAAATACCCAAGTGCAAATCCTAGTGTGCCCTTGTGGTCACAGCTGGTCTGCCAGTCACCCTTCAGATACAAACCACGTTCTGCAAAACAGAGCTGGTTATCCTCCCCTGCAGTCACACCAAGCACTTCTGCACGAGCTGAAACTCTTTCTACTCCAGGGTTGAGAGTCAGTAAAATTGTCGGTTTACTGACTGCCGGGACTGCCACACTGGGGGACTCTGCCCTGGCTCTTGCTGAGGTCACCACTGCCTGTGCTGCCACTGCCAAGGTCAAGGCGACCGCAGAAAGGAAAAGTGGTTCCGTATTGTCATGAAAACAGTTTTCGTCTCACTGACCCATAGGTCACGGGCCACCCTGGGGAGACTGCTGACTGAGTCCACAGCTTTGTCATACAAATTGTGGGGAGACGGAGGCTGAGAAAGCTGAAGTGACCAGTTGGCCTGAGTGAGGCCCTTGAAGCTCTGCAGTGACACAGGGGAGCGTGGCGGTTTAGAGAAATGCTTGTTGAGTTGAGGTGGTTCTGGTTTGACTCCATAGAAAGGGACCAGCCTAAGGTTCTGAGGCTGAGACTCCAGGAGCACACATAAAGAGGAGGCTTTGACATTGTACACCGGCTCAGATGCCTTCTGCATAGGTCAGATTGACCATTCGAAATTGAAGCGATCTCCCACACGCCTAGACAAAGTTCTTTTTTATATTTTTTTCTCTGAAATTTACCCAATTAATCTGTCCACTTATGTTTAATTTCCTTTAAGAAACGAAGGTTCTCACCTTTAGATACGCTTTTCTGAGTCTCACAAATCTCCATTATGATAATTCAGAAATGTTTCTGAGAGCCATTGTCCAACAAGAGGAAACCACATAGGTGTAGAGTGGCTATTTGGGTGACAACTGAGTGACATCTCAGCTGAGGTGGGAAGGCTGTGGCTGGGTCAGTCAGGGATAGGGTCCATAGAAGAAGGTCAGCTTTGCTACTACTTCAAAGCCAAGGTCAGATGCATTAAGGAACTCTACCTGCTGGTTCTCCAGCCCCATGACTGAACCAGTGGGATCGGAGTGGCCCCACCTGGCAGGTAAAGTTCATTTGTGCTCAGCGAGTTCAAGTCTCACTGACTTCTTATGGGCTACTAAATCGAGTCCCAGAAAACAGAGAAATTACTTGAGAATTGCAAGATCATACAAACACATATATGAAACTTTAGGAAAACTTGTATGTTTATTTTGCGTGTACATATAGTTGCTGGTTATAACTGTCCACCCTCAATAGGAATTTGACAGTGAAAACCTCACCCTATTGGCAACTCAGTCTGCCGCAGTCCTGCTGCTGTGTAGCTGGCTGGCTGTTCTGACTTCTGTCCTCTTCTGTGTATTTCTTTGTGTGTTGCAGGGTGGCTTCCATCCTCCTGTACCTTTGCTCTGTGCCACTGCTCTGTTGTATTCCTGTCATTCCTCTATTCAGTCTTTGAAGTTTTTAAAGAACTTGCTACCTAAAACGCACTGTGCTAAGCCCTCAGACTGCACAGCTGTGAATGAGATCTGGCTCCTGTCCTTGAAAAGGTCACAACAGGGTGGGAAGAAACAGATAGTTCATCATGTCAATATGTGAACCGGAGAGGGAGCCCGAGGGTGGAGGATAACCACAGGAGCACCGGGACACTTTGCAGGGGAGAGCACATCTGATCCAGGACTCCGGGGTAGGTTGGACTTCCCCAGAAAGGGAAGCTCAGATGGTGGAAGACCATGGAACACATGTTCTGGAAACAGCTAGACATTCATTACGGCTGGAGCACAGGGCCAGCAACATGAAGTGATGGGAATCGAGGAAGTGACCCAGCTCAGCTCATGAGGACCCAGTATTCAGAGGACGGAGCAGTCCACGTTGCTAAGACCTCAAAGTGAGGTGGTGGAGTACGTAGAATTTGGACCACTGATCCAGGGTTAAAGCACATTCAAATCATTGAGAAAATAAATAAATAATAAAAGCAGAACCAAGACTCTTTCTCACTCCTCTGAATAATTATCTAATTAGTTAGGACACACCTGTCAACTGATTCTTGAGGCAGGACTTACATTCAGTTTCATTGGTAACTGGAAAACTGTAAGGAACTCGTGCAGTTCCTGCTTGATTCTTAACATGGTGGTCAGAATCCAACGCTAACTCTAGGCTTAGCCTCGTTACCTCCAGTGACTTCTGTGGTGGACTTGATCCACTGCAGTCAGCCTTACCCAAAGCCCACACCTTCCCTGTGTGAAAGTCCACACCTCCTGTCTGTTAGGAGAGATTGGGCAGAAAACGGGGGTTTAAAATTCAGCAAACTAATACATTTGCTGGCTCATTTTTTTTTTCTTTTTTGGTGGTACTGGGGTTTGAACTCAGGGCCTCATGCTTACTAGACAGGTGCTCTACCACTTGAACCACTCCTCCACCCCTGTTTTGTGATGGGTTTTTTCCAGATAGGGTCTCGTGGACTGTTTGGGCCGGCTTTGAACCGTGATCCTCTTGATCTCTGCTTCCCAAGTAGCTAGCATTATAGGCGTGAGCCTCTCCTCCCCTTGCCCCCACCAGCTGCTAAGCTTATCTTTTTAAAAATGTAATTGATTAAGGGTTGAGTCCATCCCAAAGACTCTGTTCTCGTGTTAAGTGGCATGGGAAGCCTAGGTGTCTATTCAGTTGTGATGTACCATGAGTCCAATGCACGAGGAAAGCCTTCCCACCCTCCGCATCTACCTGGTTCTCTCCTGTGGACAGGGATCACCACCACCTTCTTGCAGGACCCCTGCCAGTGCAAAGCCTGTGCTTTGCAGTCTTCAAAGTGTCACTTGAATGCATTCTTTGTTCAACTCTTCTGCAGGGTAACTGTGGATGACACTGGGACACTCCAGATACGAAATCCTACAAGGAGAGAACAGGGACTGTATGAATGTTCTGTGGCTAGCCATCTCAGCTCACATGTGGAAAGTTCTTCTGTGCTGTATGCAGGTAATGTCCGTGATTGAAACCTAGACTGTCTGTACACACACATACACACACGTGCACACATGCACACACAATTTTCTAATATTGAACTCTAGAGCAACAGTTCTCAAGCTTGAACATGCAGCTCAGCCACCTGCAGGGCTTGGGAAGGCAGGTGGCTGGCTCCACCCTAGAGGGCTGCCTGGTAGGTTTGGGATGAGCCTGAGGACTGATGGGGCTGGAGGCGGCATAACTGAAGTGGTAGAGCATCTGCTTAGACAGTGTGGGGCCTTGAGTTCAAACCTCAGTACCACCAGAAATGAACATACAAATAAAAAGCCCAAATACACCGAGAGCCGGCATTGCTAAGCTGTTCCTGAGAGATGCTGGCCCTGCCGGTTGGAGGACCACACTCTGGAAACAGCTGCTCTCCAGCTCACTTTCAAAGCATTGGGAATTAATGAGACAGAGTTTAATCGCTGCTATTGATATCAGGGACGTTGCTTCTTTTCTCTTTTTCTTTCTTTTTAAAGTTCCACCAGCCAAGGATGGAGAATTATCCTTGAAAGGTTGGCATGTCCCTCCCAATGGAAGGGCATCTCTGCCAGTGCTTGGACTGCCTCCAGGAGGCTGCAATTCTGCATTAGTGTCCGGCTTCACAGGCCTGGGACAATGCCATTCTGATATTAAAATGTGTTACTATAAAGAATATTTTAGGTGGTAAAGTTTTAAGTAGTGTTTCCGGGTGGCAAGCTGGTGTTCTGGGACTAAATAAAAACAAGAGAGCCACTGCCCAGCTTCCTCCTCTGTGCTTTCTAGCATTCGTGACTAAAATCAACCAAGACAGGAGCAGGGACAACACCAGTGACTAGAATCCAGTGTTTGTTCAGCTAAGTGCCGGGCTTTGTGACAGATGCTTCACTCTCAGGAGGAGGTTGGAGCAGTTGACTTTAGAAGGTCCTCGGATCTGTATGGCTTGAGCATTCTGAGCCTTCTCTTTGGCTGCCTTCCCAGGGCAGAGCCTGACTGCTCCCGGACTGTCCTGTCCTGTGAATATTAGCTCCTTTCCAGAAAGCTTGGTTCCAAGGTTCTGGAACTCCAGGGGAACAGGAGCTCTCCCCGCCCCGTACCTCTTAAGTCTGCCCTTAAGCCATCCCAGAAGGGTCTAGATTCCCGCTAGAGCCTCTGTGATGTCCTCAGAGCCATGGATGGGCTGACAGCCAAAGTGCTCCCTGCCTCAGGGTTCCTGTTTTGTCACTTCTCAAGACAGCTTCCCGAGACCCCGAGGCACTCCAGGAGAGAATGGAACAGAATGTTTGACGACACAAAAGTGACTGTTGTAGATTCCCTCCCCTAGAACACATGGTTCCCAACATGCTATTTCCTCATGTATTAGCTGTGCGTGGGTGATGAAACAGGTTAAAGAAGTGTCACCTGTCCCCACAGGAGCTACACATCAGTGTTGGAGCAGGAAAACCAGCCGTTGCAGCAGTGCAACCCTAGAGCTCTGTCAAATGCCCTGTGTGGGGTGAAGCCTTCTCTTTCCCCTCATGCTCCCTGGGCAACCCCCAACCCTGTGCCGTGAAGGTGTCGCCCACCAGCCCGGGCATGAGTGTGTTTTCCTCCTCTGATTCCCCTTGTCCATCGCACACGGACATAGGTGCATCTCACAGGTGCCAAAGCATTTTTCCTGAATGAGTTGATGAACTGATCTTCTAACTAGCCAGCAGAATCCAAGGAATCACAAGTCCTTGACGCTTTGTAACTTGGTTTTTATTATGTTATTTTCATGCAAGTTTTATGCAGGTGTTTGTTTCACGTTAGTTAAAATGCTAAATTTGAATTTCCAAGATGGGAGCACCTCTGATCTTGTTACCCTGGAGCAGACCATAGAGTGGACACTTGGGAAACACTTTAACTGAATAGAACTTTGTCTTATTCTTATCTCAATGTGAGAGGGTTCCCAGAGGCCAGGGGACAAGGGGATGAATCAGGACCTTCTGCCCTGTCTCTACCAGTGGCCCCCTCCCCAACACCCCACATCCCTTCTTCCAGAAAATTCCAGGTGGTCCCAAGCCCTGGTGTGTTTGGGCTGTGCTTCAGCTTACCTGAGGCTGCATGGCAGAGACATTATTCCTGCTCTCTGTGCCTTCTTTGCATCTTCTGAACTGAATTCCTTCTTTTTCAAATATTTGAAGGGGAATTATCCACAATTTTGGTTATAAAACCAAAATATCCTCATAATTTATATACAATTATTACAGTTTACCCATCTACCTACCCATCCATCCACCCATCCATTCATCCACTTATCCATCCACCCACCCACCTACCTACCTATCCATCCATTAATCCATCCATCCATCCACCCACCCATCTACTCATCCATTCATCCATCCACTCATCCATCCATCCACCCACCCACCTATCCATCCATCCATCCATTCACCCACCCACCTATCCATCCATCCATCCATTCACCCACCCATCCTTCCACCCATCTGCTGAGCACCTGTAGCTATGTGTTGAAGCCCCCGTTGGGCATTCTCAGGGACGCAGAGAGAAAAGCACTCTATCCTGATCTCAGAGAGATCAACAAAACTCATCAAGTGCAGCACAGTTTACCAAACAGCTTAGAGTCCAGAACTAACACGGTTTCCTGTTCCCTTTGAATTAAGAGGCACCTGTCATCTTGTCTAATGAAAGAAATATCACCAAACCAGAGAACAACCACCTGTCGGTCGTGGTGGGAGGTGTTGTGGAGGCAGCCTGTGGAGCAAATGTGACAATCCGATGTCCTGTAAAAGGTAAGCATAGCCATTGCCAGTGGAGAGGGTGCACAGCTAGCCAGCTGCCAGGGATGACAGCTGGCATTTCAGTGCTCCAGACATCAGCCTGGTAGGCTCAAAAGTTTGATTTTCAGTGCACTGATAGTGGAGCTAACTCCCAAGTATGAGCTCATACCAGCTTACTATAAGACCAGCGTGTGAAACAGAGTGCAGGTTTACGTGTCTCCTGTGTGGACTGTGACTGCAACCGCAGTGTTCCTATCGGCAAGACCAGATCACTCTGGCCTGTAGGCAGGTCTGCAGGAGAGCACAGCTTTCAGTCACATGGTTTCTTGGTGAACACAGGGTCTGAGAGAGGGGACTTGTTGGAAACTGTTAGATGTCTCTTCCACCAAGACAAAGGCCGTGCTTGGCAAAGCTGGGTCTGGGAGCAGGAACATCAGTGTCCCCTGCCAGACTCTGACTGGACTGTCCATGGGTGGGCACCAGCAGCTTGTGTTTCTGTGGGTTTTTCTGCTGTGTTTACAACTGCAGGCAAACCTTCTTTCTAACAGACTCACTTTTTATTTTTTCAGTGCTGGGGATTGAACCCAGGGCTTTGTGTGTCTAGGCAAGCAAAATACCCCTGAGCTACATCCCCAACCCTTCAAGCTCAGTCATTCTTTAATGGAAATAATGCTTCTGTTTAATAATAATTCTCCTGTTTCTTTAGGGCACAGATTCTTAAGTCTTTACCTGGGCCCATGCATCCCCAAACGGTGGGCAAACGTTAGCTTCTGTGCACATGTACACATGTTTGGAGGTGATGGTGCTATGCAAATAGTTTTTTATTCGTTCCATGCAGACACTTATGAACTCTAAATTGAGACCTACAATGTTAATGTGAATTTTAATATCAACCTTACCCTCTGGACAACTGTTTTTCCTAAACCCTCAACTTCTAATCAGATGCTTGTGCTTGCAGCCACGTTAGGTGGGGCTGTGACCCTGATAGCCTTTGCTGCTGTGCATGGTGACACAGAGAAGATGCAGGTCATGAAGAAATCCACACTGGCCACTTGTAGCTCTCCCTCCCTGGGATTGATCAATTGCCTTTCCAGAGCTGCATCTTTGGCTCTCAAAACAGTGGAAATTGGCTAACCTCGGAGATATTATTTTTCACCCTCTGGAAGTCCCTGCAGTGTTTGGCCTATACAGACTTTTGACAAATCTCTTCAGCCTCCCAACTGACTCCACCCACAAATATGTGAATTTTTCTGGCAAAATACACCTCCCATTACGGAACCGGCCAGGGCAAAGAGAAAAGCAGAATGGAGCTTTGTGGATGCCAAGCCACAAATGTCTTCAATTTCTGGAGCTCTCTATCTGAGGGACTCTGAAAAAGAGATCTAACTTCTGTTAGAGAAACCTCAGCTTTCAGTACTACTTCTAAGTTTCCTTCTTCCCCAGTGGCTTGTCAGTCTTGCAAGGCCTGTCTCCTCCTCCCCCATCTCTTCCTCCTCTCCCATCTCTTCCTCCTCCCCCATCTCTTCCTCCTCCTCCATCTCCTCCTCCTCCTCCCCCATCTCCTCCTCCTCCTCTAGCTCCTCCTCCTCCATCTTCTCCTCCTCCATCCCCTTCATCTCCTCCTCCTCCTCCATCTCTTCCTCCTCTTCCTCCATCTCTTCCATCTCCTCCTCCATCCCCTCCTTCTCCTTCTCTTCCTCCTCATATTCCTCCATCTCCTCCTCTTCCCCTAACTCCTCCTCTTTTTTTCCCTCCTTCTCCATCTCCTCCTCCTCCTCTTCCCCCTCCATAAAACTTAGGGTAGAGGGCGTTCATCTCCCCTCCCCCCCGCCCCTTCAGCTCTTCTTGGGAATCACGCGATCTGGTCTTCCCTCACCTGGCAATCCTCATCCCCTCTGGACTCAAAGGTTGGAAGTCATCAGGAGTTCTTTTCAAATAAACTCACCTCTGGTGGTACCACAGTCGTTTTGAGTTTTGTGCCATTTTAAACAAACTGTAGTGAACTTAGTGGTTTCTTACAGCCAGGCACCATAGCCAGCATAACTTTCCATGGAGATCCATCTTTTCAAAGACAGTTGGTGAAGTTAGCGAAGGGTCGGACACTCGGGATTTACAGATAGCTCTGTTACCAGCCATGCACACCCATAGGTTAAGTCGTGTGCATCTTTCCTCATTTCTGAAACAGGAAATACACTATCTCGTAGAAGAAGGGACTTTGGTCATCCTTTAATCCAGCCCTTTGTTTTATGGGTGAGTACATTATAACGTAATTCCCAAAACCAGGTACTGCCTCCAAATTACATTTTCATGTTGGAAATTGGGATTTCTGGAAATCAGCGGTATGTATTTCCAGTTGCTCTTACAATATTTTCCACAAAGTTTTGCAGATCCAGAACTTCCATGGCTTCTGGTTTCCTACAACCCATGGGGTGTAGGTATCGGTAGTGACGGTCTGTAGTCACTCTGAGAGATGGTTCTCATAATGGCATTAAACTCTGTGTATTTGTGAAGGGCAACAGCTCTAAGCTGCAAGGGTCATTTGGCTTTTTTTGTTAAAATTTTCTAAACTGTGGGTGGGTGGATGGGAGGGTGGGTGAACTGCACCCTACTGCCACCTTCTGGCAGGAAAAGGATGTTTCTGTGAGAAAAATGGCCAACAAGAGCTGCGGGTTGAATTTTAGTGCTGAGTGCAAGTGTTCTTTATCCTGTAATTTTCCGTTCTGTGTCTGTTCTGTTTATCATATTCCTAAAGCTCCCGAGCGATGGCGCTGGTGGTTGTCCTTGCTGTCACGGTTCTGTTGTGTCAGGTTCTTCAGCTCCTCCTTGGTCTCTAAGACGCCCTCTTGGGCCCTCAGATTGGAACTGTTTCCAGGTGGGGGCCTCTGGGACCTGGGAAGAGTCCAGGCAGGACACAGAACTGTAGTGAGGGAGACAGTAAAGTTGGTTAAAGGTGAGGAGAAGGCACTGGCAAAAGCAATGGTGGCCTGGGGTCCAGCTGGAATAGAAGAAGAGGAAAAAGGCCAATCTTTGTTTCAAAGAGTTTTTATAAATAGCAAGGGCAAATGGCCAGGAAAAACTCTGGGTGTCATCCCAGGATGGGCTAGGGTGATTGATTGACAGATTTGATTGATAAGGTCCTGTCATACAACAGGGACACTGTGCATGCATCTATGCTGACCTCGGCATTTTAATTACACGTATAAGGTTGCGTTTACCTGAGCGGTGATCCAGGGTGGAGTTTCCCATGGCCTCCTATCTTACAGCTGCAGCTCTGGACTGCTAAGGTTTTACAATTGGCGAGAAATGTATAACCACAAAAGATGGTAATGGGTTGAGAGAGAGGGGGTCTAACCTGAAATGCCCGGGGAAACTCACACGGCACCTGAAAGCCTTCCTCAGAATGAGTTTGAGCCAGGAGGATGGTTTTTCACAAAAGGATAGGAATGGTAAAGCTACCAGTGCCCTGGCCCCCACGTAGGACATGGCTCACACATACAATATGCTGGACCATGCTCCTCAGAGCAGAGAAGGACCATCTGGAAAAGGTGATTTGAAATGAAAACTAAAGAGCAAACAACTTAAAATGCTGATTATAAAACATGACATATCCTTCTGCTCAGAAGAAAGTTCCACAACTGTGGATGACACCTGACATCCCACCAGGCAACTGGTGCATGGAAGATGCACTCACAATGAATGCAGAGGCAAATAAATTAGGTTCCACTATGGCCAAACTCAGTCCAGCCATGCATATCAGTAAGGAGAATTCTCCCAAGAATGTGTAATGGGTATTTTCAAGGTGTTTTGTCTCAGGTAGACATCTGAAGGCGGCTACTGAGGTGGCGTCTAGCATGCATGGTGTTTCCTATGTGGAAGGAAGGACGGAAGGAAGCGAGACTCACGGCCAAGGGGGACCCCGGTACAGGCCCACCAAGCATGCTGAGCCCAGGAGAGCTTTGAAGCAAAGCTGTGACACGGTGACCACCTCTTCCTACACCTGCCTCTGTCAGCCCCTGGGTGTGGGCCTCTGTGGGGGGAACACATTCATGAGTGACCTGCTGGCATTAACACCTGCAGACACCAGCAGGTGAGACACCAAGTCTTTTGAAAAGGGATTTGGAGTGGGAGGGGAGTCTGTCCATGGAGATTTAAAGAGATAAAATTCATGGCCACGTTAATAGATGTGGAAAAAAGCTTTTGACAGACTTCAACAGAAAATGATGTTAAAACCTCGTGGCAAACCAGCAGTGGAAGCAATCATTCTTACTCTGACTTGTGGTGGCATAGTCATGGTCTGAGGCCAGCCCTGGGCAAAACCAGGAGACCCAATCTGAAAAATAACTAAAGCAAAAAGAGCTGGGGTGTAGCTCAAGTGGTACAGTGCCTTCCTAGTGTGTGCGAGGCCCTTAGTTCAAACCCTAGTACTGCCAAAAAAATATGTATATAAGATCATATACCATAAGGATGGTCCAACATATGCAAATCAATAAATGTAATATTCACATCCAGAGAATAAAGGATAAAATTGTGTAATTATCTGAAAAGATGCAGAAAAAGCCTTTGACAAACACTCAACATCCCTTCATGATAGAAGCCCTGGGTAAACTAGGAACAGAAGGGCCGGACCTCAGTGTGGTAAAGGCTATATGTGTTAAACCTGCCGCCAACATCTAACAGCTAACCGGGAAAAACTGGAGCCACCCACTCTAATCTCAGGACAAGACAGGGTGTCCACTCTCCCCACTCCTAGCAATATAACACCAGAGCAATAAGGCAAGAGAAATGAAAGGGATACGAACAGGAAAGGCGGAAGTCAAACTATCCCTATGTGCTGACGACATCTCTTAGATCTGGTAAACACGCCTAGCAATGTAGGGGACAAAATCAACACACAAAAATCAGCAGCGTTCCCATATTCCAACAACAAACAGGCTGAGAAAGAAATCAGGAAAACAGTCCATTCACAGGAACCTCAAACAAATACCTAGTGAACTAAGGAGGTTAAAGCCCTC